ACCTGCTGCAAAGTGACTTGGATCCTGCTCCGGGCAATCTCTACGCTTCTGGCGCTGATGGCATTCTGATCAGAGCTACACTGGCTCACTCCGTGCAGATGGGATGGGGCGCTGGCATTACCGACATTCGCACAGCATTTCTCCTAGCTCCTCGGCCGAAACCTCAAGATGCCCGGGAGGTGATTGTTGTGCCCCAAAAAATACTTGTGGAAGCCAAAGTTTGCAGCCCTTCTGAACGGTGGAGAGTTCATAACGCTTTGTATGGGTTCACTTCAAGCCCCGCACATTGGGCGGTGCACAGGGATCAGGTCATGAGTGGGTTCAAATGGAAGATGGATGGTTGTGACTTTTCCCTCAAAAGAACCGAAGAAGGGAACTTGTGGAAAATCATGAAACATGGTCATGGGGATGCCGAACCAACATGTGAAGGTCATGTTATTGTTTATGTGGACGACATCATGGCTCTTGCAAATGATAATGTTCGAAACTCCTTTTTTGACCGGTTGAAAAAAGAATGGAAGTGTTCCGATGTCGAAACTGTTGACAAAAATGAATGGATCCGGTTTTGTGGTTTTGAGTTGAAAAGACATGATGATGGGGTGAGTCTGATGGTAGGACAAAAGTCTTACACTGCTGAGTTGTTGAAACGTCATGAACATGTTTCCCCAAAGTCATGCCCCATGCCAAAACTGGACAGTTCAGAAACGGATGAAACGGATATCACAACACCTGATGTCCGTGCAGCCCAAGCAATCACAGGTGAACTGCTTTGGCTTTCTGTGAGAAGTAGGCCTGACATAGCCTATGCTGTAAGTGTCATGGGAAGAAATGTTACTAGAAAACCAAGGTGGGTCCAACAGTTGGGACAACATGTGCTAGGGTTTTTGTGTAACACCCCAGAAACTTGCCTCCTGTACCGCCCTTGCAACAAGGACCACGGTGCACATGGCACACTTCAGGTACCAAGGCATGAGAAGCTCATTGAGGCCTTCGCCGATATCAGCTTCGCTCCTCAAGGTGACCGCAGTCACCAGGGCATCATCCTATGTGCTGCAGGATCTCCAATTCAGTGGGAGGCAACTCGGCAGGCATTTCACACCATGAGCACAGCGGAATCCGAATTGGTTGGATACTGCGAAGCCACAACAATGTTGAAATCTGCTGAAGCCCTATTGAAGGTTATCCATGGTTCATGCAACACGGGTGATGGTCTTGATGGGTTTGAAAAGGTTATTTATGGGGACAATTCCAGTGCACTTAGCATACTTATGAACCCTGATGGTGGATGGAGAACACGCCATTTGAGGCTTCGTTCGTCTTGCTTGCGTGAGTTGTTGAAAAGTGACCCCCAAACATGGAAAGTCAGACACCAAAGGGGAGTTGACCTTCCCGCTGACATGCTCACCAAACCAATCACGTTGTTGAGGGATTGGGTTAAGTTCTGGCATTTCCTTGGCTTTCATGTCGATGCGTCAATCCCCAAATATGACCCCGAAAACACACCTCAAAAAACCTCCAAAGGGTCTTCCAAAACAACCGCCACTTCAGGACCTGATGAAACTAAGGGATCTGATGATGTGGTGACCAAGGTGAAGGTGATCGTGGCTATGGCTGCGCTGGCTGTGGCGTCTTCAGCAGCTGGGCGAGCTGACGTGCGGCTGGCCTGTGCTACTGCTGCTGCTGCATGCGCTGGATGGCTGGCTTGCAACTGGCACCCTGCGCCTTCATCAGCGGATCGATCCAAAGAGATCTGTTTAGACGGGAGGGAGGTGGAAAAACCATCAAGAGCCATTGGCCTTAAAAGTGAAAAAGATGCCAGGGGAGATGAACCGGCCAAAGAAAAACCTCCAAGGGAAAATGAACCTGGAGGCATAAACCCTCAAATAAAAACCAAAAAATGTGTGAGATCTCCAAGGGAAGATGAACCTGGAGAAAACAGTTTTGGGAAGGTTTGGGATAGAACCCCTGAAAATGGTAATTGGGCTCACCGAACCTATGAAAGTCGAAGGGATTTTTGGGACAGTAACCCCGAAGAAGGTCCTGGTTTTGGGGATTTTGTGGCAGGAAACAGCTGTGGCATGGCGCACAACAGTTTTGAGTCCGTTGGTGGTGACTCTGAAGATGCTGTTGAAATGTTGCAACCACTGTTGGCTGATACCTACCACTGCCCTACGGGCTGCCCAAAAGTTCCGGCCGTGCGTTTAGCTGCCATGGCCCCTAAGATGTCCAAACCTGCGCCGCCGCTGCCGCCGCAAGAGCCGGGCTTTGCTGCTCCAAAGGCTACTCCTAAGCCTGCAGCTGTGCGCCGCAAAGCGCCGCCGATGATGCTGCAATGCGCTGCGGCGATGGGTGCACCTTCAAGCTCCTCTGAAATAAGCGGACCCTACATCGGCGCTTTGCCGAAGTTTCCTCCAGCCCGTCGAGATGCAGAAATGGCTCAGAAGGCTGCTGGTGGAACCATGCTGGACGGTATGCCAAGGCATGGACCCTGGCTGGATAGTCGGTACCTCCAGCCGAACACCACAGGAAAAAAGGACTCTTGGTCCGTTGCGAAGTGCGGGGAAGAAATCTTCTTGGTCAAAGTACACAAGTCACCGAGGAAACAGAGGTTTCATCCACTGCACCGTTCGGCACCAATTGAAGCCCAGTTCCTGACTGGTGAAAGGGTCACAAAAGCCTTTTTTGTGAATCCTGCTGATGGAGTGGGGTTCTTGGTTGCTGACCGACGGGACGATCCGGTCGTCAGAGCCGAGGCACGATGGATCGGCTACACCTTCCTGACAATGAGGCGGGAAGTCATGGAAAAGATGAACCTGAGCATCCAGCTGGAGCCGGCTGCGACTGCAGAAGACCCTCCATGGCCCCAGACTGAGGTGCCCAAAGATGATGACCTAGACGTGCACGTGGGACAGCACTATGAAATGGAGACGCCACGACGTCACCGACCACAACAAGCTCCTGGTTTGATGGTTGGACGCTTGTACCTGGATGGTTGTTTGGCCAGCAGTCAGAGCGGAACCGTGTCAAGTGGTGGTTCCTCTGAGCTGCGGCTGGTTCCCCTCTTGGAGCCGACCAGCCAACACAACAAGACCTCTGGAGCACCCACGGTAGGATATAGCCGTGGTGGTGTGATCCAACGTGGGGTCGCTGCTATGCCCTCCTCTACGGGTTCAGACTTGGGCCGAAGTCCTACGTCCCCCTGACCGTGGAATGGGACGTCACCAACACTTTGAGCTCAGACTCTAGCCAAAGGGTCCCTGACTCCTTCGTCTCCCATGTCGAAGAGTGGTCTTTGCTGACCGACCCTGAGTCAGATGATGCCAATGTGAATGAGGAGGAGCCCTAAAACAATGAAGACCTGGAAAAGCGCTGCTGAGAGCCGGGCTACGATAGCCATTTTGGCTAAGCTTTTGTGAGTTTCCGCAGGTGGCTGCGGGGGGGAGTGCGATTCACCAAGCACTTCACCAGTCCCTGTGGAATTTTAAAAACTTAGAAGTTGACATGTGGTGGCATGCACCAACCATAGCATGGCCACTGCACAAGGATGAAACATGACTGCCATTGCAAAATGGCTCAAGGGCGAGACGAAAAAGGTCTTGCCTAGCAGCTGCTGCTTCAGTTGTTGATCCACGAAAATAAAAAGATTCGGCATGAGCGGCATGAACACATACAAAAGAGGACCGGGGCAACATGTAAGAAGGACCAGGGTAGAGCTGATACTGACAAACGCTGAGCCATATTATACAAACGCTGAGCCAAATAATGACTTGACAACATTATACAAACGCTGAGCCATGCTTTATACAAATTATACAACATTATTATTCAAATGGATCTCTTCCTTTCCTTTCCTTTCGTTTGCTTTCCTTCCTGTCCCTTCTTCCTTCCTTTCCTTCCTTTCCTTCCTTTCCTTCCTTTCCTTCCTTTCCTTCCTTTCCTTCCTTCCCTCCCTCCTGTTCCTTCCTTCCTTCCTTCCTTCCTTCCTTCCTTCCTTCCTGGCCTCTCCTTCTCAAGACAGAATCCAAAAAACAAATCCCAAAACGCAGAAAAAAATAACAAAATAAACCTCCATAAAGAAACACAACACTTTGGGGGTTTTGAGACACCCTGCGCACAGGAGCCGGGCTATGTTGAAGTGCCTGTGGTGGATCTAGCAGAAGAGACCTGTGTGACCACTACGAAACTACCAATGCTAGACGTGCATGATGTACTGGCCTACGTCCACGATGTTGCGAAGTTGAGGACGCCAGCTTCCCACATAGAAATGTACTGGAACTGGGGTAGGAGATTTGGGGGCCCATGGGCAAAGTTGGGTGGATCATCTGTTATTCCGTGTGGCCTGTATGCAGATGAGACGAGATATGGAGGGTCATATTCTGATGACAAAGTTCTTGGGGCGTTCTGAACTTAGTGCTACATCGACCTCGCAGTATCAGATATAGTCGCTTTTGCATCTTTGCTGTGCGGTCAGCGCTTGTGCTGGGGAATCGCACACTATATCCTATCTTCAGAAGGATTGTGTGGGGCTTCCACTTGGCATTCAGGGGAGTGCGCCCTGACGGCTTGCCTCTTTGCTCTGATGGCTCAACATTTCTGTGCACGGAACTCCGGGGAGATCTAGGTTGGCACAAATTGATTTGGAACTTCAAGGCTGGGTGGCAAGCCAAAGAAGTTTGTTGGTTTTGCAAAGCAAAAAAAGACAACGACACTGACAAACACTCTTGGATTGACACTGTATATGACGAAACCTGGTCTTGGGTGATGGAGACCTTACCGGACAACCTTTGCCCTCTTCTTGCCCTACCGGGGTTTTGCATCGAAACCCTCCGACTATGTTCAATGCATAATGTCAACCTAGGGTGCCTCCAAGTTTGCAACGGTTCTGCTTGAGCCTCGATAACATCAATCGCTTTTATCATCTATTTATAAATGCATTTTTCAAGTTGGCATGCCTGGGATGCTAATTGCCAATTTCGATTTTGGCAGCCCTTAGCCCCAAGGATCTCTTTAATTCAAGCTGGTCTTTATGGAGATCCTGAAGAAAGCCTCGCTTTGAATTTGCGGCGTGCTTTTCGCGACTTTCAGCTGTGGTGTAGAGAAAACAAGGTTCAGTGCTCACAGGTGCCTTGGACCACCGGGACCGGGATGGTGCCTCGGCTTATTTTGAGCTGGATTTTTTGGTACATGTGCTTGGGTGTATTGTGACATGGTGTTATAGGGGCAGAAGGGTTTCATGCACAGGTGGTGAAAAAGGGTCGCAACGTGCTCATGAGCCACAAAGCTTTCAATGAGCGCATGATTGTAGAGTACTTGGCAGAGTGTTGTGAGCGGGTCGTTGATCAGAATTTGCCTGGGAACAGCCGTGCATTTGGGCAATGGTTGTGCGAGCAAGTACTTCAGGGCAAGAGGGAATGGCCATCGCCATCAAACCCTGAATTTGGTTTGGCTGCAACATGTTTGTCCTCTACTTGAGCTTAAGGTAAATTTGTGTGTGTGTGCTGGGAATATTTTTTGGTTGATTTTGGGTTGCTTAGCCCATGTATTGTTTGCACTGTCACATACCCCATTCGGGAACTGAGGAAATCGATTGCTCGATGGTTCAACTTGTGTGAAAGGAATGGCCGATACTTGCTACTTGTTTACAATAACCAGCTATATAATTTTTAGTTATTTTTAGTGCAGTTTTTCCCCACCAACCGTCAACCTTCAGACGCAGGTTAATTCATGTACATTCCATTGCAACATACTGAGGACAGCCAAGGCGGCAAAGGACATCGGGGATGCTGGAAAGCAGTTCATCGATTCGCACCTTCTGCTGTCTTTTCTTGAGATGAGGAGCTGGGTCAGGGCGTCAAAACTTCTAACAACATGTACCTGGATGTATACATGATGATGTATGTACTGTGTATTTTTGCCACTGCAACCCTTCAATCAAATATGACCAGAGTTTATAGACTTACAATCGGCTGGACCCTTCCTAGAGGAGACTGCATGGACAAGGTGGTCCACCCAACCCACAACGAGTTGTCAGATGGATTTGCAAACCGAAAATTCACTACTATTTTGACCACCAATTACTTCTGATGGCACTTCGCCGGCAGAACATTCGCAGATGTTCAAAGCACGGCAGTGAGTTCAAGTTCAAACCACCAAAAAATGTGACCAAAAACTGTTTTCTTTGAACATAGTGAGTGGAAACCGTAAGTTTTAAGAGTCCGTGTCTTCATCGGGATTACAAAAGGGGTGCAAATGGCGGTCCTCAGCTGTTCATCCAAATAAAGCTGGCTGATATTTGGATGTGCTTATGGATCCCCAAAATATGGTAATAGTATTCATATGGATAAATATAGATATTAATATTTATAATTATATATAATATGTGATTATATAATTTATATATGGACATATGACATATGTAATGACTGTAATGACTCCTGTAATAAACCCATCCCAAATCATCAAAAAAAACACCGATTTCCCAAAGGTTACCTGCAGGTCTGGTGAAGCATTGTTCAGGCGCACACTTTGGCGCCCCACGGCCTCGGCTCAGGGGAAAATGATACACAAAATCTGATACAAAAAGGTTCCAACAGCTCATCTTTCTCAGTGCATCTCAGATCATCTCAGTGCTTAGTGCATTTCTATGTGTGTGTGTGTTACTTTAATTGAAAGCTGTGAAAGTCTTCAAGTCTCAGTACCCCTGGGCTCTCGCCTCTTCATCTGGTGGATCTCGTTTGAGCTCCTGGGCTGTGACCAAAGGAAGTCCACCCTGTCAGCTCAAGAATATCCCTGTTCTCACTGGCTTGATTCAACCAAAACTCCAATTGCAGTACATGAAACAAAGGTTTTTCCGGAGGTTTTCCATCATTTTCCATCCAAATCTACGGGATTCCCGTAAGATTTCCCTCCAGCAGCTCCTTCACAAACTCCAGCACTTCAGCGCGCGACAGCACGCCACGCGCGGCATCTGCTGAAGTGCTGGCACCGGCAGCATCGGTGGTGTTGGTGGCCTTCGTTGGTTTTCAAGGCATTCAGGGTCTGAGACAGGTGGGATTATGGCCTGAAAACCATATAGTGACGGACATATACTTAGAACATCAATTTTTTCCAAAATTTCGGAACCTTTTCTTAGAACATCAAAACAACTACACTTAGAACATCAGAAATGTTCTAAGTACGCACTTAGAACATCAGAAAAACAGATACTTAGAACATCTCCTTTGATTTTTTGCATACTTAGAACATTAAACACACATATACTTAGAACATGTCCTGTTACTTTGGTAAATCTGCATATATACACACAAATACCTTGGTGAACACCATACTTAGAACACTTTCTCCCCTCACTGCTGCAGCATTCTATACCTTTTCTTCGGGAACAATATCCCAAGCAGTCTTCGCTGCAATGGGAAGGTCTCTAGTATATAATTTGTGGGTTTCCTACAGCGGGTAGTCAAAAAGCATAGGTTTCAATACTAAAATGAGCTAAAATGAATTATGTATAATTTTGAATGTTTTGGAGATGCCTCATTATTGGTTCCCCACTGGGATGTTCTAAGTATAGCTTGGAAATGTTCTAAGTATAGGTTTTGGGTATGTTCTAACGACTTAATACTTAGAACATCCCCGCTGTGACGATTTCCAGTTTTTTTTTCCAAATGATGTTCTAAGTATTTGTCCGTCGCTATAGAGTCACCACAGAAATCCTCATCATCTTGAAGACGTTTGTGTATATGATGATTATTGATTTATGTGAATCGGAGATTGTATCCGATATATACGTGTTTGTTCAGTAGATGTTGATATTCTCAATGATGGCGGAGCAGCGGCTTCGGCATGTGCTACTTTTACTGGGTCCTTGCAGTTGGGCGTCTTGAGCCAAAATGGGCAATGTTTGATATACCCATTTGGCCGGAGTTTGAAGGAATCTATACATGGGATATGTAAAGTGTGCTGTAGCCATTATCCCATTCGCACCCCCCACGCCTGTTACATTTAATCTTTCAGGCGCCGGAGGAAATCTTAAAACTCATTCGCCTGCAAGTAACATTATCTTGAATTATGGAGCTATACATTTTCTTCGCGGCTTGCTACTCTCTTTACCAACTATGTTCACTGTATACATGCATACTGTCCAGGGCGTTGCCTATGTACAGCACTGAGATTCACTTCGTGAGGCGTCGCCAACACTCAGTTTCACTCAGGCACGACACAAATGAAAAAAATAAAAGTGAAGTGACTACGGAGCTAGAGTTTTACCTTCCCGCTCTTACGTCACAGAGAAATAGACCGCTGTAGAAATTCAGCTCTCAATGCAATGATGTCTAGATATCATCGTATCTTAAAAAAATGTCGTTCTCAAATTAGCCGGCTCAGATTCCTCTCAGAATTCATCCACAATGATGATGAGGTCAATCATGAGCACTGATTGCTGCCCTTTCGCCAGTTGTACCAGGACCTATGCAGAGGTCAAGTGAACTTAACGCCAGTTTCCTCTTCCGTAGTATCCCGGATAGTTCCAATCGCCGCCACGGTGTGAATAGGATCTGCCACCTTTCCCGTGGTCTGTTCCACCCCTCCATGGTGGAGACACTGGAGCTTGTTTAGGCGGAGGTGCAGCTTCTGCTTGATGCGTTGAAGTCGATGATGATGCTTTTGCGCTTGCAACACCGCTCGGCTTTGGCGTTGTCTTTGATTTGCCTTTTGCAGCTGTGCTGGGTTCACGTCGAACACCTTGAGGCACTTGCGTATCGGCAATGGCAGCTAAATGGGCTTCTGACATGTGGATTCCCCATCTTGGCCGTTGATCATCACGTTGCTTCTGTTTGTTGTAGTCTTCGATCGCATCGTGCAGTCGAGAAAGTAAAGGTCGAGGGAGTTGTCGGCCGTTTTGAAGAATCATATGTAAGACAAAAATCCGTCTTAGAAGTGGCCGGCAGGCGCACAAGATATCAACTGGGTTGAGAGTTGCTGTGTTCTGGAAGTCCACGTTCCTGAAGAAGTATACAGCATTTACTTTATAAGCGCCAGCAATGATCCTCCTGACCAGTGTAGATTGCTTGTCAAGCGATTCACGGGCTGTTGCGGACTTTCTCATCTCTTCTTCGGTGGTGTCCCCTTTCTTCAACTGTGCAAGGTTTTCATCGATGAATACGGTTTGCAAGTCGTCAAAGGTATATCCACACTCCAAGACATAGACGATTAATTTCTTGAAGACCAATGACCCGTGATATGCATTGACAAAGCCATCCTCCCCAACATCATCTTTGTGTTCGGGCTTGCCAACTTGACGGTATAGCTCCCTCATCTGTTCGTCGCTTGGTTCGACGAGGTTGTCATCATCATCTTCACCGAGGTAAGGCACTTTCGGATCGAGATCTAGCCTGAATTGTTGATTCAACTGAAAATATTGCCATGCTGTCTCAGTGGTACCACAGAAGTTCCTATGGAACTGCTTGTAGATCTTGAGGATATTCAATCCTATCTGCAACAGCAATATCTTGATGAGTTCAGGTTGGGCATCTCCGATCATGCAAGGTTCGACCGGGAGAACTTTCGACCCAAATTCGACCCTTTTCAGCCAAGCGGGATACTCAACGATGGCATCTCTCACTTCGTCAGCCTCATACTCTTCGATGTTGATGTTGTCACCCTCGATCTCTTCTTCATCGTCCTTTTCGGCTTGTTCACGCTCCTCGTTGAGGAACTCGTCAACTTCATCTTGTTCTCTGAAATCTCGTCTTTCCGCATTGATGTCATCTTCCTCTTGCTTTCGATCATCATCTTCCCCATCTGGTTGGACATCTTCTTGTGGACTTTTCATAGTGACATCCTCATCATCCTGCATCTGTTCATCGTCGTCGTCCTCTTCCGTCAAGTCAATCTTGATCTTCTCCCAAGTCTGCTTGACGTGATCCTTGACATCGTCTTCCTGAGGACGCTGTTCAGCGGTGGGAACATTGGCAACGGTGACTTTGATTCGTCTTCTCCATCCATGACTGATCAAGAATCCTTTGCAAATGACGCAAATTGCGAATGCTGCTGGTGTTTCGCATAGACAAGCGGGGCATAGTCTATGACCTTCTTTGCTCGGACGATGAGTAACTGCGAGGAGGGAGATTGTGTCATTCCAGTCCTTGTGTCCAGGGAAAAGTCTGTTCGAATAACTGATGTTCATTCAGGTCCGGAGAAGATTCGTCCGGAACCACATTCCCAATGAGCTTGTCAAATCGTTCGACTGTCGCGATCTTCTTTGCTCCTTGCACAGAAAGTACGATCTGCTCATACCCTTTTGTGATCATGAGACGGTAGTATTCCTCATCCTTCCAGTCATAAAACCAAATTGCATCAAATGAGTTGAAAGGAATCGTTTGTTGAATCAAAATGTGTCCGTCAGCTGATACACGTGGGGAGAATTTGGAGATAGATTCGTATGTCAAGTAAATGTAGACAAGGTTTGTCTGCTCGATCTTTTTGAATCTCAGCACCGTCTTGTTCCGCTCGTCCCAAGGCGCGGATGGCACGAAGAACGTGTTGATGCGGTCTCCTCCTCCTCCTCCTCCTCCTCCAGGGCGTAGCCCTTCACGGAAAATCTGTGCAATGCAATCAAAGGTTGTGCAATGAAATCCTCCTCCAAGAGTATAGCCCACACCTGGGTTCATCTGATAGGAAGTTTTGCTGTCTTCAATGTACACACCACCTTGAATTCTTGAATGTGCCATTGGAGCTCTGATCGCAACTGGCCATAGCCAAATCTCACGGTCTGCAGTGCCGATTTCCATCCTCAGCGTCTGCTTGTTGAGTCTCTCGGTGAATGCGTCATCTCGATGAATGATTCGCTCCAACTCACCCTTGGTGACTTTCAATCCTAGCACTTGGGCTCGGAGTCTCTTCGTTTGCTTGTACTCCGTGAAGATGATTCTCTGGAAGGAGTCCCATCTTTCTACGATGATGTCGTAGTTTGCGTGAGTCGTTCCAGCTAAGGTGTGTCCATCTCTCCAGATGTTGTCGTATTTCAAGATCGTCTCGACATTGACCCACCCAGCTTCATCACATGGAAGACCTCGATGTCCTCTCTTGTCCTTAACACAACCCACGGAGTGGCGGAGTGCAGCGTTGAATCTCTTTGACAATTCGGTCATCCATTGAGGATTCTCCCATTTCTTTCCCATCCATTTATTTTCACCAAAGCGATGAACTCTGCACCACCCATAGCCAAGGTACTCCTCTCCATTGATGCGGGCCATCTGAAGTGTACCGATGTCGTGGCCATGTGTGAATGGTTGGATGTATCGGAAATTCCAGTTGTCTCCACGTTGTTCTCTTTCTTGTTTTATCCATTTCATGTATTCATCATGATCTTTGGGGTTCAATGCATTCAGTTCTTCGATGGAAGGTAGCACAGGTGGAGATTCTTCAGCTGCTCGTTCTACAAGGGCGTCGAGCTCATGACGATTTCTCACACCTTGACCAGGGGGGTGGACTTCGATGCCGTTCACCAAGAATGGTCCTCCTTCTTCTCGATCACCGATCTCGTACATGAAGGCGGACTGGCTGTAGAAGCTTTTGGTCACTTCCTCTTTCTCGGTGAACCTTGTCCTTCTCCATCGCTTCCCCTCTGGCATAATACCCTTCTTCGGGAGCTTGTCTTTCCTGCCCCTAGTTGCTGTTCTGGATTTCTCAGAGGAAGATGGGGATTTCGATTGTTCCTCCATGATCATTCTCATTTCAACAATCATTCAGCAGCCAAAAATACTATATTCTTGTAGGCCGTGGCCCATTGCAGCCCAAGCTCTAGAAGTTGGGACAAAAAGGCAGCTGTATCTTCAACGCCATCTACACCTTCAAGGTGTGGCCTCAGTGTATCCAAGCGGTGCTGGGAGCCAGCAGGCAACAAGTCTCGGGGCCTCACAGCAATGCACCTTCAAGGTCCTCTTCAACCTCTTTCCGGTCAGAAGCTTCCTGATGGCATCTGGTAGCATCTGGTAGCATCTGGTGGCATCTGGTGGCTGTAGGTCCAGCTGTGCAATCCACAAGTGCTGTCCTGCAGGAGGTCAACTGCCAACGCAGTGATGTACTCCAAGACCTCGGCGAATCGTTGAAGGGGAAAATCCTGGAATTTTTTGTGAATCGTGAGCTTCATTTCCGAGGTGACGGCTTCGGTTTCGACACCTTTGTCTGTCAAGGGGGCCTCGGAGGAGCTAAAGCTAAAACAGACCAAAACTCTTGGCAGTTGCCGCTAGAAGCCGCAGAATGCGCCATTGAAAAGCTCCTCCGCATTCGTCCATACCCCCTTCTCGTCAAAGGACCCCACTGACTTGACACTTTCTCTTTTGGATCCCTATTGCCGACGGAAACTGTTCGTTCAGCCTGCTCAAAAAGTGGGCGACAGCCACGCAGATTTCCAAGGGCAGACTTTGGCCCACTCTCACGGTCTCTCAAGTGTGTAGTCACCGCCTCCTGCACCTTGGAGATGTCACAGGTTGCAGCTTGCATCAGCTTGCACTTGCCTTGCTGTGCCTTTCAAATTATCGGAAAATGCCCAAGTTTCTCCGCTCTTATGCTCAATTATCTCAATTTTGGGCACTTTGGATTTGGATCCCTTTTGATTCTTGATGGCAGGTTGCTGATTTCTGAGTTTTCCTGCAGGATTGGTTCGATTGGCCAGTCGTCGGAATTCAACCAAAGCTGCGCCATGCAATTCTTCCACACCTGTGGCGCATCACGATCATCAGAGTGCACATCACCACATGATGGACTATGATGGATTGTGGTGGGTAGTGGATTGATGTGGATTGTATGTCTGTAGTCTGTAGATGTCTGCGGCATCGACAAAACTCCTGCCCAATCTGATGGTGCAGAATTGTGCGGAACTCACCTGATGATGAGCACATGGTAACACACAGCAACACCGGCCCTGTTGTAATCTGCTCAAACATTCGATCTCCACGCTCACACAATGTCACACCTCACCATAGCCCATCCCACCTCTTCAGCTAGCTGCCAAGTGAAATCCAACCTGCGCACTGCACCTTGAGACACCGAATCAACGCATTTCAGGCACCTAAATCAGCTCTAAATCCATCTAAATCCCGTAAAATTCCTGTCTAACCCCTATCTGCGGCCAAAACACATCGCCGGCATCTCCCGCACAGTCTTTTCTGTGTCTCAACAATAAGTCATCTGCTGCAGCTCGAATCTCTCAGGGACTGTCAACGCCTCAGTCGGCCGAGTCGACGCCGTTCAAGCTCCTTGGATACTCCGTTTCATCATCTTTTTGGAAGATGTCTGCAAAATTAGGGTAACTTCTGAACTACCCTTTTTGTATAATGATTTGATCCACATCAGGACCATTTCACTTGACTTTTATCTGTGATGCGCAGGTCGCACCAGAGATCCCTGCCGCGGAGAGCTGTCACGTCGAGGATGCGCCAAGGCACAAACACCATCTGAGATGAGATAACTGATAACACCGAGATAACTTCGTCCTGGATGCCGTTGCAAAACCATATGCAAAGCCTGTAACGATCCATGCAAAACCTGCAACTCGTAGGGCTGTTCGTCGATGGATCCCATTGGAAGGGCCCAGAAGACTTTCCGGGTGAAGAAATCGGGCTCTTTATGTTTGATCTGGCAGATTCTGGCAGTGTGATTGAAGAATTTGAACATGATTGAACTCAAAACTAAAACCTCAACTGGAACTGCACTGAAGGATCAGATCTTCTTGGAAGGTGTAAAATGTGGAAGTCGTTGGTCCCAAGGTCCAGGGGTGCCCTGTTCAGTGCAGGCACTGGAATCATGTCTTTTTCCTTGCAAACCCAGAGGTGAGAGTCTGAGATTAATAAAATACTATCAACGTTGCCCTGGGTCAGTGAAAGTAGATGATGGGTGATGTCAGAGAGAGAGAGAGAAGAGAGAAGAGAGAAGAGAGAAGAGAGCAGAGAGCAGAGAGCAGAGAGCAGAGAGCAGAGAGCAGAGAGCAGAGAGAAGAGAGAGAGAGAAAGAGAGAGAGAGAGAGAGAGAGAGAGAGGGAAAGAGAGAGAGAGAGAGAGAGAAAGAGA